AAAAAATGAAACTTTTAAGCTAAATTTATTCAATTTAAAAATATTTTATTGGAGATTATTTCCTTCCTTTTTTATGTGTGTCAATTCTTTTATGAAATGATAAAAGTGGGTAATAGAGGTTTTTGTTCCTTTTGTTTTTGGATGTCCTGCTTTACTGAAATTAAAAACTGCAATTCTACATCAGTCCTCAAATCCAGCCCCTTTCCCTGTATTCCTCTATATTTTGTGCTGGTCCACATAATCTAAAAATTTAGAAGCCATTGCATTAGAATTTTTTGCCCACTGGTTGGTGCTGCTCCTCATACTTTCCCAATCTCCAGACTGTTTTCTTCAATATCTTCCCTAAGCTGTCATGTTATTAAGAAGCAAACAAACAAAAAAAAGTCCACGAAGTCATTGATAATAGTTGAGACTAAGACAATGCTTTGAAAAACTGCATAAGAAATAAGAAACCACCTTTCATGCCGGAACACACACATTATCAACCCTCAATCTAAATAATGTCAACAAAGCCCATAGTTCATCATTGCATCCATTTGAATATGAGACTATAAAATGTTTTGCTAAAATTAAAACAGAGTTCATGACACCTTTTACAGTCTGCTCAATTAAGTTTACTTCTCCAAACAAAAATGGAGAAACAATTTTACTCCTGCTACCCACATTTTATGAGCTAACTTCTATTTTTAATATATATTTGGCAATATGAGAAATATTTAATTGGTTAATATATATGACCATGCTGTGGGTTGAACTGGGTCCCCTAAAAGGATACATGGAAGTCCTAATCTTAGTATTTGTGAATGGACCTTATGTGGAAATATGGTAGCTGAATCTTTGAAGATGTAATTAGTTAAGATGAGATCAACTGGATTAGGGTGACCCAAAATCCAATGACTCTTGTTCTGATCAGAAGTCCATTTGAAGAGACACAACCAGGAGAGAATGCCAAGTGAAGGCAGCGGCAGAGATAAGAGTGATGCATCTACAAGCCAAGAAGAGCCAAGGAGTACCCAGGTGCTACAGGACGCAAGGAAGGTTCTTTCCTAGAACAGCCAGAGGGAACATGGCCTTCCAAGACCTTGATTTCCATCTGCTGGCCTCCAGAACTGTGAGATAATAAATGTCGACGTTTTTAAGCCATCCAGTTTATGGGAATTTGTAAGAGCAGCCCCGTGAAACTAATACAAGCCATTAATAAGAATGACAAAGGACACAAAACAGATATTATCCAGGACATCAACAAACTTCAGAAACAAAAAGCAAAACTACTTATCTATAACTTTAAATTATTTGATTATATTGCATTAGAATACTTTACACTAAAAATTTTTTATGAAAGATAACTTAGTTTCAATTGACAAATACTATCACCCAAAAGTACTTAATTCTTTTCACTTTACAACTTAGACCCTTTACAAGAGTTATTGTTATTCTTAAAATTGTTTACCCCAACATAATTCAAATAAACGTAATAACCTTCAAAGTTATTTTTTAAAAAGTATACTTGGAAGCTGAGTAAGGTGGTATAAATATGAATTTTGTGGTCAGAAAAACTTGGGTTACTACCTAGGCCCTTATTAGCTGTGACAATTTTGAAAAAATCCTCAGCATCACAGAATCCTCTATTATATTTTACTTTAAAAGGAGGGAGGGAGGCATAAAGGCTACCTCACAGTTTCTAACCAAGATAAAAATGAGTCATTTGATAAATGTTTCTAATTCTCAAAAGAAATACAAACATTTGTAGGATACTTGAAATTTATGTTTAAGTCTTTGAGGAAAGTGGGATAGTATCTGAGGTTAGTTAATGTCACAAACAGAATGAAGATGATATAAAGTGATAGAAAAGCTAAGAGAAGAGACTGTAGAGTGATGGCAACACAATTTGGAAGTGCCTAGTAGCAATGTGAAGCAAGGACAAATATAATCCTCCTCAAATAATACACTGAGTATACTATCTACTGAATCAAAGTGTACAAAATTGAGGGACGCCTGCGTGGCTTAGTCAGTTAAGCATCTGACTCTTGGTTTTGGCTCAGGTCATGATCTCACATGCGGGTTCAAGCCCCACATCGGGCTCTGCCCTGACAGTAAAAAGCCTGCTTGGGATTCTCTCTCTCCTTCTCTCTCTCTGCCCCTCCCCCACTCATGCTGTCAAAAATAAATAAACTTTTTTAAAAAAAGTATACAAAACTGAAGTGGAAAAAGGTCAGGGACAGGAGAAATACATTTATAACAGAACGAGTATCTCCAAATGCAAGGAGAATGGGTTAACTAGCACCAAGAGCAGAAGTACTGACCTAGACTGTAATAAGACCATATGTAGTAGAAAGGAGCAATTTGTACCTCAGCAATTAATAGAGGATAACAGCTTAAGAAAGCAAGCAACTGGAAGATGGAGTTTAAAGACATATTAACCACATAAAAGAAGAGTGTTTAATCACTTTAGGGATCAGAAAGAAATTACTTTAAAAAGTGTCTTCTTCAGGGGCACCTGGGTGGCTCAGTCAGCTGAGCAATGACATGGGCTCAGGTCCTGATGCAGTTTGAAGAAGCCCCGTTCTTCGGGATTGCTGCTGTCAGCCTTTCAGCGCAGAGCTTGGATTCTCAGTCCCCCTCTCTTTGCCCTGCCCCCCCCCACTTGCACTCTCAAAAATAAACAAACATCAAAAAAAAAAAAGCGTCTTCTTCAGTCTTTAATTTGACTAAGTACCAAGGTAACATCTTTTTTTTAATTTTTTTTTAATGTTTATTTATTTTTGAGACAGAGAGAGACAGAGCATGAACGGGGGAGGGCCAGAGAGAGATAGGGAAACACAGAATCCGAAGCAGGCTCCAGGCTCTGAGCTGCCAGCACAGAGCCCGACGCGGGTCTCGAACTCACCCACCGTGAGATCATGACCTGAGCCGAAGTCGGATGCTTAACCGACTAAGCCACCCAGGCGCCCCAGTAACATCTTAAGTAACTACAGAAGTTAGGAAACAGAAATGTTAAAATAACAAGAGCTAACATTTAATGCATGCTAACTATATGCCAGGCATTGTTCTAAGTACTTTGCATATTTTAACTCATTTAATCCTCACCAACTACCTTATAGAGTTAGGTATTATTATTCTTATTCCCATTTTGCAGATAAGGAAACTAAGACACAAAGAGGTTAACTTGCCTATTGTGACATTAAAAGGCAGAAACAGAATAAATACAGAAAAACTGTTAAATAGGATTTGTTAGCTGCTAGACTGCCTAAGGTAATGTCTATTAAAAATAAGTTTCACCATTTCTTCCAATTAAACCATTAACCCCTAAATAAAATAAAATTTTTTCTTCTAATTCTTTTTTGATGTTCCAGGAGACGCCTGATTTCCTTTGAGAGATCTTTCAATCTTGATATATTTTTTATGATCTGTACCCTCAAGCCATTTCAACTCAGTTGTGTACTACAGTTTACTATCAAAAAAAAGCAAAACAAAATTCCTCTCCTCCTCCTCCCAAAACAATGAAATTTATTTTTTTTTCATGTTTTTCGAACTGGAATAACTGCACCAACTTAAAGACATCAATAAACAAAACAAGCAAACCTCCTGAATTTTTCAGTGAACAACCCTGGTTCATTTCTTTTAATGGCGATATACCAGAGTTTATGTATCAGGCTAGGCAATTACTTAAATACAACTTCAAACATATTAATAACTCCTGTTTTTAAAGGTATCTTTAATTGCCTCTGAAAGCCAGTCTTGCAACATTTTAACAGACATTATGTAACTTTGCATGAAGTTCGAGGGCACTAAATCCCAAATACAAAAGTTACCTAAACATGTTTTCTCAAACAATGACCTATCAACTCTATATATAACCTATATCCAAGGCTATTCTCTACCACGAATTTACAAGTTACCTTCCGAGGGTTTCTTAAACCTCGAGGGTTTAAGAAAAGTAGTTAGACTCAGACCAGTCTCTCCTAAAGTATCTTGCCAGACCTGCCCCTTTCTCATTCCCCCAGGCGGCGTGCGAAACTCTGGAGACGAGGCCAAGACCTCGGTCTTTCTGAAAGAGAGCAACCTGCTGCCAAGAATTTGGTATTGGTCTGAATGGGGGTGGGGAGCCAGACACCCGGGAAGATAGGGACACGATCCGGCTGGTCTTCACAACGCGGGACCTTTCTCCCTGAGGACGAGAGGAGCCACCGGGGCACAGGGCACAGCGAGAAGCAATGGGTCAGGGTTAGCAGCTATCGGAGAAGCACTTAAACTCCTTCCGGTTGCAAGACAGCGCACAGATACCGGACTGAGAAGAGGGGAGCTCCCCCGCGCTGCGCTGCCCAGGGTCCTGCCAGTAACGCCCCCGGGAGAGGTGGAGCGGCTCCCCAGTCCGGCCCTCTCTCCAAAAGACAGTGATGAAGACAGGGAACCAACCCCATGACAGACTCTCAGCCCCCTTAACCGCATTCACTACCGGAACAGCCTTGGAACAGTCGGGAGAACATCACCCGGCGGGCTTTCAGTATTTTACCTTGTGTTATGGTACCAGCCGACCGCCATGTTTCGCAGAAGCCCGGGCCGCCGGGCTCCCGTTCACCCGAAAATATCGCGAGAACAAAAGCGACAACCACCGTTGAAAACGTCAGATGGGAGACATGTAGAGTTCTCGCGATATTCCCTTTGCTTACGGAGCGCTTTGTGAATCAACAGGTGTGGTCGATATGAAAGGGGTGTGGCTAAACAGAACAGAGGTTGAAATGTATTTTAGGTGTAACCACGTGGCCAATAAGGAATCAGCTTCTCCGGGAAGGAATGGGTTACCTTTGTAATGACACTTAGGGGCCACAGAATGAATCTCAACGCCTCATAGAGTGCTTCATCACTAAGGACAGACTTGGGCACAGGTTTTATCATTTGCAACCCTAATGCGTATCAGTACAATCTGCATCATGTTTTGTGACTTCTGTATTGGCCTCCTTATTTCCTCACATCAAGAACATTTAGACTCCCTTTTTCAAACGAAATTTCACTAAATTGAAACTATCCCAGAATATAAAAGCAGATAAAGTGTTTCCACTGATGCAATTTCATTTCCAGACTTTTCATGTCAGGGTTAGTCCTTCACATATTTAAGAAGAAGCTTACTGTAGTGGGTAAGAGCTTAGAGCTTTAGGAACTGGTGCTAAATTTTAACTAGGATTTCCTGGGTTAAAATTCCGGTTCAACCATTTATGGGCACATTATTTCATCTCGTTTCCTTATCTGAAAAATGACGCGATAATAACAATTTCATGTGGTTGTTATGAGATCTAAGTGAGTTAATAAATATCTAAACTGTTTCTTTACCTTAGCCACAAAGGTACCAGTAGACCTTCCTTCTTTGTGGGTCTAAGATTATATGGGCTCTTGCTTGCATGGAAGCTAGCTGTTGTTCACTTAGTTACATCTGGTCCCTGGTCTCCAGAGGAGTCTGCTTTCATGATAACAGCTGACCCCTAAGAGTTGGAATTCCCGGTATAGCAAAACTGACTAATTTGATCCTCCTTATTTAAAAAACAACTCACCATTTTCCAGACTACCAAATGAAGACAAAATTAATTTCCCCTGAAGATTGAAACTCAGCTTAACTTCAAAGTGAGGTGAATACTTAATCCTATGTTATTGGTGGTGGGTGTTATATCTGTGAAACAATTTGCTTAACACAAAAACATTACATTATATATTACCTGCAGAAGAGAATTAGGAAATAGGTTTTAAATTGGGGATTTAAACTGGTGCTAAACAACCTGTACTTTTTTTTTAAATTTATTTTAATGTTTATTTTTGAGAGAGACAGGGAGAGGCAGAGAGAGTGCATGCAACAAGTGGGGAGGGGCAGAGAGAGAGACACACAGAATCCAAAGCAGGCTCCAGGCTCTGAGATGTCAGCACAGAGCCCAAAGCAGGGCTCAAACCCACAAACCACGAAATCACGACCTGAACCGAAGTCGGATGCATAACTGACTGAGCCATCCAGGCGCCCCTAAATAACCTGTATTTGTACAGATGCTCAAAAGGTGTTTTCATGATGCTTTTTTTTCTTTATAGTTTGAGTAAAAGTTTTAGCAAGTTAGTAAAATTAAGATAGATAGATAGATAGATAGATAGATATACGAATGCCCCACAAACACCTCAAATTCGATATATTCCCAGTGGATCTTATTATCCCCAAAGCTATTTCATCTCTTCTATGCGTAGGAAAGTCAAGGGTACCACTAACATTAGATTCAATCAGTTTAGAATCCTGTGTCTCCTCCCCCTTCTTACTAACTACCAGTCCTCATGATCAGACAGTTCCTTTTATAAAACTATTCTCAGTTTCGTGCTATACACCAGGTGCCTTCATTTTTATTTGCTTCTATTATACATGATTATCAATGTTATACTCAAATTGTGTACTTACATTTTCAAACATTGTGCTATACACTCTTAAATAATTTTATCACCTACCAAGTTAGGACTTAAAAATCATTTTTCATGTGCCAAGTTTAAACTTGGTACGTCAGCTAATGGATAAATATTTTCAGTATGTTTATAGTGGCACTATCTGCCATTTAATATCTCTGTTTCAGTAGACTTACCACCAATATCTATAAAGCATTGTGCAACATTTCAGTATGACTAATAATAGATCATAGGGACCATAGATCACTCAACTCACTGTGACCTGGCCATTCATGTATCAAAGATTCGCTGAGTACCTTCTATATGACAAGTGGTGTGTTAAGTACAGAACATGACCTAGTGACAAAGCAGACAATTCTTGTGGAATTCATACTACATTGGGGTATACAGTTACCAAATAATAAGCCCCAAAACAAATATATGACCGTGGCTGGTGTCATTTATCTTAATAGTAGTAAACTATTTATTTTAATAGTTATTAATAATGTATTATGTGTATGCAACATTTTTTATTATGGTCTTCAGTAAATTTCAACACAAAAACATCCAGCTGAAATACAGATTTTATATAATATTCTCTACATTGATTACAACATTTGAGTTGGTATTTTGCTTTCATTTCCAAACATTCTTTCACTAATATTTTTCATCTTTGCATCATAGATGTATTGTCTCATCTATTTGATTAGCTGTTTTTTCTGAATTCTCAATATTTTAAAATAAATTGTAGCTCTTTTATATTTCTTAAAGCTTTTATTTTTTAAATATTTATTTATTTTTGAGAGAGAGACAGAATGTGAGCAGGGGAGGAGCAGAGAGAAGGAGATAGAATCTGAAGCAGGCTCCAGGCTCTGAGCTGTACCCACAGAGCCTGACACAGGGCATGAACTCACAAACCACAAGATCATGACCTGAGCCGAAGTCAGTCACTTAATCGACTGAGCCACCCAGGTGCCCCTTTTCCCTAAAGCTTTTAAAAACATTACTAATTTCCTTCTAATAGCAGATGAAATTCTTTATATAAGTACCTAGGTCATAATGTAATAAATACTTTAAGTTAAAAAGAGACAGCATATTTAACTCTCATACTGTAGGTAGGCAAAATAAATCTTTTATTTACTTATTTATTTATTTATTTATTTATTTGATGTTTATTTATTTTTTAGAGAGAGAGGGAAAGGGAGAGATGGGGTGTGAACAGGAGAGGGGCAGAGAGGGAGACAGAATCTAAAGCAGGCTCCAGGCTCTGAGCTGTACCCACAGAGCCTGACACACGGCTTGAACTCACAAACCGCAAGATCATGACCTGAGCTGAAGTCAGTCACTTAATCGACTGAGCCACCCAGGTGCCCCAAAATCTCTTATTTTTATTTTTATTTATTCTGAGAGAGAGAGAGAGAGAGAGAGAGAGAGAGAGAGAGAATTCCAAACAGGCTCCACACAGATAGTGCAGAGTCCAACTAGGGGCTTGAACTCATGAACCACAAGATCATGGCCTGAGCCGAAATCAAGACCTGGACACTTAAATGACTGAGTCATCCAGGTGCCCCCAAATTTTGATTTCAATAATATGACATAAATAGAAATGTCTGCAAGCTTTATCACCCATCAAACTCAGATGCCTTCAGGAGTCAGGCTATCTGCATATGTGTCTCATCCAAAAGCTTTCAAAGTCAAATTTCTTTCCAGACCAAATGTCTGATAACCCCTATAACAATCACTACCTAATTTTCACCTGTTGATGTTAATATTTATAAATTCATAAATCCAGATGAACTTTGGAAGAGAATATCTAGGAGCAAGTACATTTGTATCTGTGTGTCTTTATGTTTGTATAATTTTTATGTACATGGGCAAACTGGCATAAGTACATAAAAAGGGGGAAATAACAGTATGCTATGAGAGAAAAAAACAATCAACTTTCAATTGAGCAGAGCAGAAGATATTTTTCCATTTTATGGTATAATTATCTAACATTGATGTTGAGCTAAAAAGGTGAAATAATTTCCATCCTATATATGGAATGTGTCCCTACAAGGTAATTTTCATATCAGGTCAAAAATACATGAACATCTAAATATATAAATAATATATGGTCAGGATAGAGATGCTTTGACTAAAAAATATATACTTTACTATCACTGTTCAAAAGAACCTAACTTGGCAAATTCTTTTATTTGTTAAACTTGTTTTCCTAAGTAAAGGATAGTTGAGCCATCAGTAGTAAGGGCCTCTCCTTTCTGTCTGGGTCTTAGAAGGAAAGAAGCCAGTGAGACATAAGCATTCTCCCTTACCCTACACACACTTCCTCCTGAAGTAGGATTTGAGGGAGTAAGCTTGGTCAGAAGTTGATTTTCCTCTAATGGAGGGTATTTACATTGGGGGGAACCCCCTTAAAGATCGGAGTCTTTGACACAGATTGGGGCTGCTGCCCAATGGATATCACTTCCATCCTATAAGGGTGATGTTCTAGAACACACCGATCCCCCTTGGTATTCCCATAATAGCAGTGTTGCAGATCGCTGAGCCTGAGTTAGGAGAAACCACTAACATCAGTCTGTCGTAAGCCAACTCCATGTTGAACGCATAGGAATCCATTGGAGTCTTCCCTTTGGAGGCAAAAGGTGGAAAAATATGAGGCTGGGAGATTAGTACCATTCCCATATTTTTCTTTTTGTCTATACACCAAACAAATTGTTTTGATTCAGTTAAGCTATGAGATTTGTCAGGGAAAAATTGAAAAGATTTAATTATGATAAAGCTTTAAACGCGCTATCAAAGGCCATAATGGACAGTGTGCCTTCCTCCTTGCTCTCTCTTGGATCATCCTTCAGGAAAATGCAGTTCTGTCACAGGCATACTTAAGAAGTCCAGTGGAGAGGTCCCCATAGTAAAATTTGCTTTAAATGTTCCCAATGAGAAGTTTAAAGCCACTCAGATCCCTGACCCGTTGTGTGAGACCTCTTTTTCTCCGAAATCTTACATCATTTTCTTGTCCTTAGTACTCTTAAATTTCAGTGATGTGTCTGATATGGATCCATGTCTTCATTGGTGTGCAGTGTATCCAGTGGCTCATTTCAGCCTGACAACTCATGTCCTTTGGTTCTAGGAAGTTTTCTTATTTTCTTAATTTCTCTTTTCTATTTTCTCTGTTA